GAAGGCTGGGAGATCAAAGAGGCGAAATTAGACGGCTTTAGACCAATAAATTGTTCCTGGGGTGACACAGAGCAAGGCGCAAAGTGAAAGGCTAGGCAGGCCAAGGAGGTCTGTCTAGACTCAGGCGGCTGGAGCAGTCCAGAGCTATGGTGTTTAAAGTGGAACTTTTCTTTAGGAGGAGACCTGATAACCAGAGTGCGGAGCGAGTTGAGCCGAGCAGGAAAAATATGACTCTAACATACCTAGGAAGGTTGTCTGAATTTGGCCAGGCACGACTAAGAAGTCCCGGCAAGAGACTCTGTCCTAGTTTGCCAAGGCCAAATAGGTTTCAAATTCTGCTGCTTCCAGGGCCTTGGCACTTCTGGGCTCAAGTCTTCCCTCTGAGCAGAGTGTGAGGGTCAACAGAAGCCTTCACTTCGTTTCTGTGTCTCTCTTCCCTGGGTGGACTTTGAACAAAATCAGACTCTCAGCAAGGCTGGTTTAATTATATATGTTGTTCGGCTATTGGCTCCCTACTTATATGCTGGAAACGTATCTGTTAGTGTGAAAATATTCACATACTATTTAGTCCAGGCTAAAGAAGACGCCGTTTAAGCCAGTTTTTAATCTGCTATCTAAATATTTCTCAATGCTTTCCCAGAATTAGCTTTTAAACCTACTGCCAGAGTTTGTTTCCTGTGGCCAAATAGTCCTCGATGTTTAAATATTGGTTTAGAATGTAAAACCCAGAGCTTTGCAGCAAACGAACGGTGCCTTCTGGAGAATCGAGTGCTGCTGAGTTTGGGGGGCTTTAAACGTTTTTATTCTTCTCCCCTGAGAAGATTGTGGGCTTCAGCTATTGGGCTTTGAGACTGTCCCCGACTTGGTGAAAGGCGCCTGACTTGGACGCTGCCACCAATTCCTCCCCAAGCGAATGAATAAGCTCAGTTCCTTGCCGGGTCTTGTCTGGGCGAAGACGTCGACAGGTTATGAAAAGCCTCTCAGTAACGAAGACCAGAGAACAGCCTGCCGGCTGCCGCCAGTCGGCCAAGGGCAAGGGAGGCTGCCGGCCTAGGCAGTTCACCAGGCCTCTGAGCCCCTGGAGGGCCTGCACCTACCTGGGCCCTCTATGATCGGTGGAGGGAAGCGGTTGCTGCCAACCCGTGACTTCCATTGTTAGAAAAATGGAGTTTTCTATTTGTGTCCACTGCCCAGCAGTAACATAAATATAGATTTCTGAGGATTAGGTGAACACGTATCTTTTGGAGCTCTCTCCAAGAAGCTATAAAACCCTTCCTACAATCAGAGGCTGTAAAGTAACGTGAGTTACATACGGAAATATAACAATGATATGTGCCTGTAATACCCACGTGTATGCAGGGAGATTTTTTTTTAAGGGAGTAAGAGGGAGAAAGAGAGGGAGACTCAGGAGAGCTGTCAGCCAAAATCGAGTCCCTGGTTTTACAGCGTGTTCAGCACGGAGATTCGAGTCATAAACATTTTGTGGTCTTGGCCGAGACTATTACGACCCAAATAAATGCACTGCACAGTCTACATTCACGGCGATTTCGAAAAGCCGCCTCTCTGTTTGCTCCGGTGTTTTCTTTCCGAAACCATCCTGATCCTAACATACTTGTCGCCCTTGCTCTGAAGCTTGTCCCCATCTAACATTAAAAGAATGAATTGGGACTTTTTTTTCTGCTAGCCTCCTCAACCGACGACGCCAGAGTAGTCCTGGTCCTTCAATGCCAAAGAAATACCACGGCCAGAGAAGCAAGGACGATTTCAACCACATGAATGCCAGTTCTGGAGCTTGTGTGTTACTGTACTTACTTAAGCGTATGTATCATTTATTTTCAAATAACCTAACAGTTTCTAGACTGCTTCCTGAGTTACCCCAATGGGCCAAGTTCCCTGCTGATCTACACAAGACAGCCAACCACCAAGTATAATTTTACAACCAATTTTCAAGCCGCCTCATTTTAAGGTCAGGTTCCTCCGACGTTCTCTCTCTCTCTCTCTCTCTCTCTCTCTCTCTCTCTCTCTCTCTCTCTCTCTCTCTCCTTACTGGTGCTGGCTAACTAGGCCCGGTACCCAACCCTGAACCAGGTTTTGGGGCCTCACGGGTCGGCGGAACCCGCGGCCACAGCGTGCGTTCTCTGTTGGTTCATCTGGTCCTGGGGCCTTAGATGTTCGTCCCCATGTCCTCCGATCGTGAACGACCGTCCCAGTGCGCCTCGCTGTCCCTAGATCTCTGCTGGGATGAGAACTGTGACCCTGGGATGGAACTGGCGTTCTGAGCCACAGCCCCGCACCTTCGGCACCGCAGCACAGCGGCCTCGGAATGGGGCCGGGGAGGAGAGAGCGCCGACGGTCAGGCAAGCCCTGGCGCATGCTTGTGTCCCCTGGAGGCTTTCAGGCTGGCGTGAGCAGCAGGGAAAATATATGACTGCTGTTCACACAAATCCCATTCCAGAAAGGCTCGCTTCAAGTCGACATTTTAGGAGCTTCCTAGGTCGCGGCGGCCGGAGATGGCGGCGAGAACGCCTCTTGCGTGGAGCCACACTGCCATCTCCTGGACTTTTCCTGGCACTGCAGCCGCAGCTCTCTGGCCCGCGTGAACTTCGGCAACGCCGGTGACCCCACTCCCATGGGCGGAGCGAGGGCCCTGTCCCTGGGGAATCCTTGGGTAGCCAGGAACCTACGCTGCAGAAGGGGCAATACCCATAAAAGAGGGCTGTTTCCGCAGTCTCTTTATCGGCGGCAGACAGAGCAAACAAATGAAAGGGTTTTGGTGGGATACCCTAATTGGAGCTGGACAGTTGTAAACTCATTAAGAGCCGAATTCCAGACAGTTCGCAGACCTTCCTTTATGGCACACCCTTGCTGCATAGGCTTTGAAGTCCTTTCTGTCTGCAACAACAGAGGGCGTGCCAACCTGGCGGCGCATTGGGGGTGGGGGCTAAGGAGAAGCCTCATCCACCCGCACCCTGGTCCCCCTTTCCCCGCGTTAGAAGACAGTCGACATTGCAGAGCGATGGGGGGAGGTGCGAAGAAAAGGAGTTGGGGGGGGGCGGTGAGACAAGGCAGAATCCTCTGCTTACATCTGGAAGGCGCTTGGGCCTCCGAAGGCTTGTAGCCGTCCCCCTACGCAGCCCTTTACACCCCATAAAGGGTAACAGCCCTCATTTTCTTTTATGGCGCTTCGGGGCTTGTCGGTTGCTAAGGCCTGCTTCTGTGGAGACTTAAGCTCCGGAGGTGGCTTAGCAGTGTAGGATGTTGAGCTCTACCCCCAACCCGCCCCAGGTCAGGTTGGCAGGACTCAGTAGCACAGGGACTTTTCTACTCTCTGAAAACCCTTGAATATTTGAAGGAGCCACCTCATTGCCCACATGTGGCTCCTGCCTGTCTCCTCAGAGCCTTCTTAGCAGGGAACAAGCCCTCGGCTCCTCGACTTCCAGCTCTCAACTCTCAGCTGCTTCCAAAGACTTCAGTCGTTTTCTTGTGAGTCCAGGTTTGGGATTTTTTTTTTTTTTTTAGGTACACCGAAATGAAAGAATGGACTTTCCACCGCTGCTGGCCAGCGATGCCCAGTTCTGCCTGCACCTCAGATGCGTCTCTGTTGGTCTGGCAAGCAGACCCGCCTTTGGTCTTCCCAGCTTTCCGCTCCTGCTTCCTAGCGACCAGCAACTGGCTGAGTCGGGAGTGCTTAGGCCTGGCCCGACTACTGGTTCCAGCTAGAGACAGAATTAGGGCTTTTCCCCCACTCCCCACCTCACCTCAGCCCTCCCCCGAAGAAAACATACCTAGAAAAAGAAGGTGTAAAAAACAGACCCGCACAACGTAAAAGAATCAATATATTTTATTTGGCAAAAGTTAAATATCTTGACACAACAATTTGGTCAGTAGGCCTTGAGGTAACTATTGCAAAATATACAGTGTATGTTCAGTCCGATGGAAACCCCAAATTCACCAAGGATACAAATCTACAGTAGCCCAATAGCGGTTTCATGGTGTATAATTTATTATCAATAAAATTAACTCCATCAGAACAGCACTGACTTTCCCCAATTAAAATTAAGCAGAAACCATAGGTAGTAACCCTCTGCACACATGTATAGCTCCGGATTTCCTCACTTCTCCTCTGGTGCAAAAACAATATTCAAGCTTTCTGAGTATGAATATTTCTTTAATATGGAGATTCTATATACATTGGACAAAACTGGAGTCTAGAACACGTAAAGATGAAGAAACCCACATTTCAAAAGTAGATAAATCATGAATCTATGCATCCCGGAAAACCACCTCCCTTTTCTTTCCAAGTCTGATTTCACTGGGAAATCCTTACAGCTAGTTTACAATCGTAGTCTAGTTACACAGAAGACGTATTCCACTACAGAGCTATACTCTATGCCACGGCCTCTCTTCCCCCATAAACAACCTGAGTTCAAATCGAATTCTAGTTTCCACAGTCACAATGGGTGCTTCACCCAGCACAGAAGTTTGAGTCACAAAACATAATTACCACAATAAAACACAGTGTTCAAGTATCTCGGCAGAACAATCTGCCACACGAAGAGCAAATTAAATTAGCTACAAGAGACTAAAAACTATACAGCCAGTCATCAACAATTGTGCATTATATAAAAAGGTAGTTTTCTTTCCTTTTGCTTAAAGTCAGAAGCAGGTAGATTTTTTTAAATATATATATACAAGCTAGTACATACAGTCAACAGCGCTAATGCCCTCCCTGTGTGTGTGTGTGCGCCCGCGTGCGCGGGAGCGCCTTCTACAAAATGGAAAGCTTACAATACCTCCTCCATTAAAGCCGCAGGCCTAGGAGCAGCCTGAGCAGAGACTGCCAGGGGGAGATGAGGCCTGGGATTTAGAGCGCCTTTGTGCGGGTGGTGGAGGCTGGGTTTGGGGGAGAGGAGACAGAGGGAGACAGACAGTCCTTTCTTTTTCTTTCTAGCTTGCTCTTTTTTTTTTTTTTTTTTTAAAAAAAATGAGCCCCTAAAGGCTCACTCGTCTTTTGCCCGGTCCTTGTTGATCTTCTTCATTTTCATCCTGCGGTTCTGGAACCAGATCTTGACCTGCCTTTCAGTGAGGTTCAGCAGCCGGGCCACCTCGTACCTGCGGTCCCGTGTGAGGTACATGTTGAACAGAAACTCCTTCTCCAGTTCCAGCGTCTGGTGTTTTGTGTAGGGGCATCGCTTCTTCCGAGTGGAGCGAGCATGGAGCCAGTTGGCAGCCGGGTTATCTGCGGAGGGAGAGAGACACTGGGTTTAGAGGGAGGAGCATCCCGGGTGGGTCTGAAGGAGCCTCTTGGGGGGGGTCCTCTGGCCGAAGTGCAAGATGCCGCTGAATTGGTTAGAGGAAACACAATGAAACCCTGGCAGACAGACCCACGGAGGGTCACCTACAACAGCACCGGGAAAGTCTCAGCTCTCCCTCCCATCTCCACCCTACTTTGACCTCTCTTCCGTCCCCTCCTCTTCTTCCTCCCACAGTCTGTATATTGTGAAAGGGTGAAATTTGGAAACCATTTTTTTTTTTTTTGCCAGCAAAGAGTAGGCTGTCCTGAGTTCTTGTGGCAAAATTCTCTCTCTCTCTCTCTCTCTCTCTCTCTCTCTCTCTCTCTCTCTCTCTCTCTCTCTCTTCCCTAGCTTCCTTGCAACTGTCCCCATTCTTTATTTGACCTTCCCGGAAGGCCGTGGGAACTACGCGGGGAGGCAGGATGCCTTTGATCAAGTCTCCACTTTATTTGAATAAATCTGGCAAAGGGACCCAAAGGGCTCCAAAGCCCGCAGCCTCATCTTGGGCAGGATTTCCGCCGCCACCGCCAAAGCGAGGAATGGAGGGAATCGGAGGTCTCCCCAAGCGTCCCGGGTCAGATTGCTGCCACAGTTCCTGAACAATCTAGCCGCACAAAAGACTTCTCTGAGCTGCTTTCGAAGAACCGCCCAAAGTCGGCCTGTCCTAGGCCGGGGCAGCTTAGGAGAGGGGCGGCGGGTCTCAGCTCTACCCGCACGCCCGCCCCGCCCCCTCTTACTGCAGCATCCTCCTCCCTTTTCCCCTAGCCGGCGGGGCCTGCTCCACACAGTTCTCTGGACTTGGGACCCCTATCAGAGGTATTCCAAACACCAGCTTCTGGTTCTCGGGCCCTAGATCCAGAGGCACCCATCGAGGTCCAAGGCAGGCTCGAAAGAAAACTGACGCGCTGGTAGATCCTGGTGGCCTGCGTGGAGGCAGAGGCCGGTTTGCAGGAAGGAGACACTTACTGGGATCGATGGGGGGCTTGTCTCCGCCGCTCTCATTCTCGGCATTGTTTTCTGAGAAGGCGCCTTCGCTGGGTTGTTTTTCTCTATCAACTGGAGGAGAACCACAAGCATAGTCAGTCAGGGACAAACTGTGAGTGTCAAGCGTGGGACAGTCACCCCTTCTGGCCGACAGCGGTTCAGGTTTAATGCCATAAGGCCGGCTGGAGGGTAAGCCCGCGAAGGAGAGCGCACCGGGCGTGGGCTCCAGCCAGGAGCGCATATACCTGCCGTCCGGCGCCGCCGCCGCCACGGGCGCCTGGGGGTGCACGTAGGGGTGGTGGTGGTGGTGGTACACCGCAGCAGGGACAGCATTGGCGCCCGCCGCGTGCACTGGGTTCCACGAGGCACCAAACACAGCCGCCTTAGACTGGAAGCTGCAAGGGCTGAAGTCAGGGTGTTCAGCCAGCGCTGCCGCCTGTCTTGGGGGTTGGCCCAGGGCCCCTGGAGCGTAGCGTCCCGCACCCAACTCGTCGGCAGCGTCGGTGCCCAGGAGGAAGGAGTCCACATAGTAGTTGCCCAGGGCCCCGGTGGTGGCCATCGCAGTAGCCCGCTCCTGGCCGGCCCAGCCCGACCCGCCGAAATTATGAAACTGCAGATTTCATGTAACAACTTGGTGGCACCAGGGGGGTGAAGTACAGTCACCTAATAAGTTGCCGGCGCCCGCGCACCCATTGGCCACGCGCGTCACGTGTCCGCCCAGCAGAACAATAACGCGTAAATCACTCCGCACGCTATTAATGGCCCGGTGTTTTGCAGTCATAATTTTTATAGCAAAAGCCATATGTTTTTATGCAAAGGGATCGCGCAGCTCCACGATCTGGTTTGTTTTAATTGTGGCCAACGAAGATTAAAAGATCAAATCTGGCCTTGCCTCTGTACTCTCTCTTGCCACCCCTCCCCCCCATACACACACATACCAGACACACATACACTTCTTAAGCGGACTATTTTATATCACAATTAATCACGCCATCAGGAAGGCGCGGGTCCCGCGTGCGAGCACGGCCAGCAGAGCCCCCTCACATAAAATTAGACAATAATTGAAGCCATAAAAAAGCAGCCAAATCGCATTCTCACTCCACTGTATTTAAATGTATATTTATGATATTTCATAAGGAGTTATTGTTTCGGAAGCCCACACAGGCTGGTGGAAAGTCAGGAACGACCAACAGATTCGTTTGCCTCGCTGCGGCTCCCTGTAAAAATTTATGAGGACTCCGAAAGGTTAAATTAGACTGTTGTGTTTGGTTGGTGAGTACCCTGTAAATAATCCTTGCGCTCCTCAGAGATGTGAGCCCCACCCCGCGCCCCCAAGCCGGCCTCGAAAAGTCAAATACAAGGCTCTCTCCACCTCAACCAGAGTGACCACCGCCGCTGTCGCGATGCACCAACGATGATACCAAACACCTAAAATGGGCTACCGATCCTAGTTAGATTGGAAAGGCGGCCAGACGCTTCCACAGCGCCCAGATCACCCTTGCTCCACAAGGGAAGGCCCCCACAGAGGAACTGCCAAGGAGAGAACTGCCTCAGGGGTTTGTGTCACAAACGCCCTGATTGTGTCACAAGCGCCCTGGCCCACATCTTTGAGCACAAACTGCTCAGCGAATTTTATTTCCTAGGCAGCGGCTTCTAAACTCCATCGTCTGTATGCCTAGTCCCTCTGCCCAAACCGGAGCTGGGGAAAATCGCCAGTCAACATCAGGACCAGAGGAGTTTGTCTTGCTGAGGGGTCGCCTCACATAAAAGTGGCCTAAAAGCGCCTAAAAGGTCGCTCCCGCACTTGAAGTGGCCGTTTCTAGGCCCTTTATCAACCTCTCTGGGATTCTTCCTCCACCATCTCATTTTCCTTCCTTCCTTCCTTTCCCTCCTCTTCCCTTTTTCTTCTTTCCTAACGTCCTTTCTTCCTTCCCCTTTCCTTTTTTTTTTCTGTCTCCGGCACCCCTGCCTTGATTATCCATGAAACAGAACAACAGAGATCCAAGAATCAAAACTAGCCGACTACAGCTCAAGTCCAGTGCTACAGATTAACCCGGGAGGAGGACTGGACATTGACTTTAATCTCATCCTTTGGTCAAATGGAGGATGTTATTTTTCACCCCTTAGAATCTTTGGGGATGAGAAGAAAGTGAAAAGGCCACAGCCACTGTTGTTAATGGGGGGGGGGGGTGGCCCCATCCCGATCTGGAACACAAAGCAAGCTCCTAGAAACTGTTAATTAAATTCACGTGTGAATTCTGTGCCTTCCAAGGGTATGTTTCTCATTACTTCACTATCCACAAAACTGCTGGCCAGAGACATTTCCATCTTTGTTTTTTGCTTTCTTTCTCAGAAATAGTTCAAGCAAACACTTTCCAATACTCCAACAGATTCGTGTCTTGGGAGACAGAAATCCCCCCCCCCACAAATATTAGGCTCTACACCAGAGAGGGACTGTGAAGCTCCCGGGAACACAGACCCCCCTCCTTTGCTTGTCAGTAGGAAGAAGAAAGTGGCCAACACCAGGAACTGGATGTGGCCTGTCCTGACTGCCTCAGTCCCCTCCCCCTAATATTTTCCTTTCCCTGCAAATTCTTCCTAGTCACACAGTCCCAACACAGCCCAAGGTGTTCTAAATATCCGGCAGTCCTCTGAGGTTCAGGTTTTCATTAAAACAATAACCCTGGAGTATAACTCTGCTCTTAATTGTCACTGTGAGTGGTAGAGTCTTCTTGGCTGACCTTTTCACTTTTTGTATTCAGAGGTGTCTATCATCATCATCATCATTAATTAAAAATATTTTCAAAAATCTTTAGTCTTTAAATAGAAAGATTACAAACGAGCAGGCACTGAGTATTAAGCAGCTCTTTACGTGTGGCCAGAAAGGGGAAAAATTTCATAGAAGCAGATATTGCCTTTGTGAGTCTAGAAACTTGATCCTAAAGTATACAGGTTTTTATTTCTGCCTTTTTTTTATTTGGACGTGAAATGAGTTGTCTACACATCTAGAAATAATAAATGGATGTAATCACACACCACCTCATTCTCAACTGAGAATCTTCCTAAAACTAAGTTAGTCTCTGAAATAAATCCAATACCCGGATCCAGAAAATGGCAGAGAAGAGCTGGAGGGAACCGGGTGTACTGGTCATTCAGATAACAGGTTGTTGACTGAGCAATGAAAACAATTCCCGGGCATCAGCCTGAGCTGGGAAGGGAAACAGAGTTCTGTGGTCTCGGGTAGTGCCTATGCTGTTGCGGGGGAAGGGCGGTTTGTTTTCATTTTCTGTATTAAGAGTGATTAGGCTGCTTTTCTTAGATTACAATTCAGTACCAGTACCCCAGTGTGTGCCCTCCCTGTTCTTGAATTTGGGATTGTTTTCATTCATTTAAAATATATTGGAGCTGGGAAGGTCTCCCTTCCCAAACACTCAACTGCACAAGGCAGGACGTGTCTAACATTTTCTGAATCTAATACGGCCAGCAAGTCAGCAAGCAGTCAAGCCTTGGACCCGGTGAGGCTCTCTCATCATGGTCAAAGCCCGAGTTAGCACCCGGAAAGCTGGCAGAACGGCTCAAGAAGCTTCCTGCTGGAGCTTGCTTAGTAGTCAGGCTCCACAGAACCTAGGCAAGAATTCAGCCCTGATTCCAGCTTCTGAACCAATGAAGTTGGCAAAGGGTTTCCTGCCCTCGCTGTGGGCACACAAAGACGCCGCGGGTGCCCCCTCACCGGATCTCTCAGGCAGCCGCTAACGCAAGGCCGCCGCCATCCGGTCGTGATCGTAACCGAGGCCTTGTCGGCGCAGAGGCCCACCAGGCCAAAAACCACCGAGGCTTCCTTACGCTATCCTTAGCACATTCAAAACTGTGTACCGAGAGGGGAAAAAAATGAAACCGCCAAGCTTTCTTTAAGCCAGCCCTTCACCCTCCGGAAGAACAATTTGGAAAGGAAACGCAGAGAGAGAGATTTGGACATAAAGATGGACGATGCAAGAAAAAGGAAAAAAATGAAGGAAGGAGCAACTGAAAGGAAAATATAAAAAGGAAGAAAGAAGAAAGGAAAGGAGATAGAAAATACGTAAAAGACACAGCGGCAACTGAGAGCAGAGGGCGCCCTTGCAGAGGGAAAGGTAAGCGACAAGGCCAGGATGCCAGCCTCGGACTGTCCTGACTCTCTTATCTCAGGCTGGGTCTCTACTGGCGAAGGACTTTTGCCTCTGCTCATAGCGGGATTACAGTGGAGAGCATGTGTTCAGCCAAGCCTTGCAGGAGAGTGACAGAGCTCCACACAGGCCCAGGTCGACAGTAGGGAAAGTTCAAACTGCAGAGGAGCGCCCCTGACCTTGGATGGCCCGGGGCCCAGAATTCTTACCACGCCCACGGCGTCCAAGAATCAGCCGCCAACCTGACCATACCTGCTCCGGGCCAGGTGCCGGGCGGAGACAGTGAGGCGGCCTGGATGGCACAGCGCTGAGAAGACCCGGAGCTCCTCCTGCACTGGGGATCTGAGGTTGCCACCGCAGGCCTGGCACGATTAGGGCCTTGATGGCACGCCTGGCCACCCCGGGCTGCTCAGTACAGGTACCTGGAGACGCTTTCAACTGAAGTAATGAAGGCAGTGTCGTGCTGTCGAGAGAAAGGTGGATCCCAACAACAGGAAACTACCTAAATCACCGACCAGTTCTGATGCTGCCGGCGTACGGATGCCTCGCCCCTCGCCGCCTCCTCTGCCGCCACTGTCGCCGCCAAGGAAAGAGCCCTGCCATTGTGCCCAGACCAGCCCTCCGCAACCTGTACCAGACCCCACCCCAACCCCGTGGTGGAGGAAGAAGGCTCCGGTCTCGGGAAAGGTACGCCTAGGAGAAGGAGAGAGTGAAAGGAGGGAGGGGCACGAGAAAGAGAGAGGAAATAAAAAGGAAGGGGGAAAAGCTAGAAGAGAGGGGAGACCCAGCGGGGTGCGGCGCGTTCCCCAGATTCTGCAGCCTTGCCCAACAAGCCGTGCGATTGCCGCCCTGGACGACCAGAAAAAGCAGGGGACAGCACCGAGCCGGGTCCTGTGTCTGGCTGCGGCCTCTTCTACTCACTCCCCGCAGCCGCTCGCTCTCCTCCTCTTCTGCCTCCTAGCCGCCCGCCCGCTGAGGCGCGCGCTCCCGCGACCCTCCCCCCCCCACCCCGAGTGTCGCCCCCCCACCTCCGGCTAGCAGGAAACGCGTGGCCTAGCGGAGGGCCGCCAGGTGGGGGAGGCCTGGCAGGGGGAGGGGGTGACCCTGGACAGCTCGGCCCAGGTCCACTCAACCGCTGCCGCAGGCATTAGTGGTGCTCCTTGAGTGGACCCTCCTCCGCGAATTTCGGGCGTGGGGTCTTCTAGGACCTGGACACCCGCAAAATAACTGGCCTCTGCGAGCCTCTCTGGGGCTCCCGAAAGAAATCCTTTTTAGCTTCCTCTGTCTATGCAGCTCTCCTCTCAACTGAAACCACTGGTCCAAGACAGCCACAATCCAGATATACTAGCAAGTCATAAAACTGAACAAAAGCCGACAAACCTTAAGGCACCAGGGC